ACCTGAGGATAGTGGGCCCGTAACTCGTTCTCAGAATGTTTCGCAGATTTGAAACCCAGATTTGAGATCACCGTTCGAAACTACCTACGTAAATGGCCACTGCGACCTGGTATTTTTCCCTGAGATGGCGATCTGTACTAAGCGCACGGACCCTTGCATTGGAGACGTGAATCGGGGATCTGATGATGCAAGCCAGAAAGATCACGAGCTTTTCCCTTGGCCATGAAATTCGATCAGTACGGAAACGATTGAGAAGATGTGGTCCAGTCTCAGCTTCAACATCCTCATTGTCTGCGGACCAACATCGAGATAGGAAGAAAAAGTGTTTCAAATGGGTTTCCAGCGGTTCTACAGAGAAGTCTTCAATGTCATCGTCGGTGATTTCAAGGTCAAGATTGGTCTCTGAAAACGGCTAAAGATCTCCACATCGGAACTAACGGAATATGTGGAGGAAGCAGGATTAAAGCTGTCCGATTTTCTCATGTCGACCCACACTATCCATGATAGCTCGCACTTCCAAAAGCCATCTAGTTTGCAATGGAATTCGAAGTCACTTAGTGGACAGACCCATAGTGAAATGGATCCATCATCTTCAATCGAAAGTTCTGACTGAGTGACATTGTTTTTGTTCCAAAGTTCTACACGAAATCAGGACATCGGCTCTTCCGTTCGAGAGGGTTTCGTTATGGAAGCCCCAATACCGTTAACAACTAGTACCGCTTCGCTTTCTTTGCGAATTTTTGAGAAGGCTTCGTTATGGACAACACCAATGAGCAGTATAACGGGCTCGTTGGACGTCTCTGCGATAGCACTTGGAAAGCAGAGGAAGTAAGAGTAGTTACGAGACTCACATCTGCAGAATTTTCGAAGCCGACACGCTAGCGCAGCGCTGGCTGACACGCTAGCGCGGTCGCGTGAGTCACAGCCATTCATAGAATAACGCCTGAGCTTGCGAAGCTCTGCAGAGCAGTAAAAGAAGAACTAAAGGAGAGAAGATCACCAGGCTCACACCGGCAAGATTGTAGTGCGCATTTGCAATGCTTGCTGGAGCCCCACAGTCTGAAAACCCCAGCTAATTCCTTCTCCCCACATCCCCGTATTCACTTCGTCTAGTATGGCAATCTGGAAAGACGCCTGACTTAGCTTTGATCATTCGAACGGTAGTGAGTGAATGCTATCCTATCATCTCGAGCAAGACGAATCTTATTTATTTATTTATTTAAAATACACTCGTAATAGTGTGCCCGAGTAAGGCAGAGAGCGGAAAATAACACAACCAGGCAAGGAGAATACCAGCCGCCTTACATATTGGAACTAAAGAGCTGTTATCAGGCAAAAAAAACATAAGTAGAAAGCAGAAACAAAACAGCTCAGGAAAATCCAGATTAAATCGTAAACAGAATGAAGTTCCGAATAGATGATTAATGGTCAGTGATCCTCACAGGACCCCCCCCCCCCCCC